TTAGAATGGCAATCATTCAAAAGTCAGGAAACAACAGGTACTGGAGAAGATGTGGAGAAATAGGAACACTTTTACACTGTTGGTGGGACTGTAAACTGGTTCAACCATTGTGGAAAACAGTATGGTGATTCCTCAAGGATCTAGAACTAGAAATACCATATGACCCAGCCATCCCATTACTGGGTATATATCCAGAGGATTATAAATCATGCTGCTATAAAGACACATGCACACGTATGTTTATTGTGGCACTATTCACAATAGCAAAGACTTGGAATCAACCCAAATGTCCACGAGCGACAGACTGGATTAAGAAAATGTGGCACATATACACCATGGCATACTATGCAGCCATAAAAAAGATGAGTTCGTGTCCTTTGTAGAGACATGGATGCAGTTGGAAACCATCATTCTCAGCAAACTATCGCAAGGACAGAAAACCAAACACCACATATTCTCACTCATAGATGGGAATTGAACAATGAGATTACTTGGACTCTGGAAGGGGAACATCACACACCGGGGCCTATTATGGGGAGGGGGGTGGGGGAACGGATGGCATTGGGAGTTACACCTGATGTAAATGACGAGTTGCATGGGTGCTGACGAGTTGATGGGTGCAGCACACCAACGTGGCACAAGTATACATATGTAACAAACCTGCACGTTGTACACATGTACCCTAGAACTTAAAGTATAATAAAAAAAAAAAGAAAAAATATATCATTCTTTGTTAATAACCAAAATTGTATTGTTTTACAAGATAATTTTTTATTTTGTATTATTTCTTTCTCATATCTTTTTATATAAGTTTCTGTCCTGTTCCAAGTTCAAATCAAGACTCTGCCACATCTGGTCGGCCCTGGCCAAGTTGCTTCATCTCTCTGGGCCTTATTTCCCTCCACTGGAAAATGTGAATACTACTAGCAGTTACTCTGCAGAGCTGTTGGGAGGTTTAATGTTGTTTATTACATATGTAAAGTGCTTAGAACAGCAACTGACCTGTAGGAAGGACCAAATGAATATAAACCATTATTATAGCTTTTTAAAAATGTCATATTGAAGCATTTCTTCCTGACACTTCAGTTACCTTCAATGAATTTAGAAAACTCCTTATTTTGATTCCCTCTACATTTTCTACCACCAGGAAAAGTCTTTCTGCCCTACCGGTGCTGTGATAGTATCTTGAATATGCCTCTATGAAAGCACATGCTGGCATCCACATTCTCCCTAAGCTGTGAGCAGAGACCACAGCCCATTCATCTCTGTATGCCATCACGCCACTAGCGCTGTGCCTGCTGCCTGGTGAGCCTTCCACAAGCCTTTGCCAAATGAACAGGTAAATGTTGCCAATGTACTCAGCACATGACTAGTGTCTGGGCTCATCCCTTTGTGTTGCTTCTCACTGGCTTCTATTTCGAAGGGCGGCCTTTTTGTGAACTCCTGCCCTCGTTCTAGAATACATTCTCTTCTGAGCAAACAGTTCCCATCTCCACTTAGCATCCACACCCTTCCTTCCCTTGGAGCCAAGGAACCGTATTGCATTAACAGGCATGCTTATTCTCAGAGGTGCTTCCCTGGGATGAGGTGTAAATTAATGCCAGCCTGACCACTCTGGGTCATTAAAGACCAGATGGTAATTTTTGCAAGAGGAGCAAATGAACCCTACTAGCCTGGCCCAAATCCAACCTGGATAATTTCCTCCTGACTACACAATATCCCCCGTCTCATTTCAGACACAGAAATGATTTTTGCTTCATCCTCAGAAAGCTCGCCAGGCAGGGCCAGGCTGGCTTCTCACCCCACCACTGTTGCATGGATGCAGGCTAGCAATGCAGCATTCATCTGGGGGGTCCGCGAAGTGCTCTGGGGCAAGTAGGGCAACGTAAATCTAAGGCTTTAATCATATATTTGGAAAAATAAGACTTAGTCGACTTGAATGAAAACACTTCATCTTCTAGTGCATTTTTAAATGTTTTAAGCTACAAGAGTGACCAGAAGTTTATTGCACCTACAAAAAAAAGGGGGAGGGTTTAATTTGGACATGAATTGTTTTTGTTAAAATCATAGAAATAATGGCTTATTCTCAGTCTAGGTAGTCCCTGGAATGGATCCGCTTTTGACATTCAAGCTACGTAAAGTAGTCGTGGATGGGTCTTCACTGGAGCAAATCCCATTACTTATTACTGCGGAGAGAAGTTGAGGGATATAACAAGAACCGTGGATGCATGCTCAGCATGCTGCTGCTTGCATAGAGGAAGAACTGATTGGCAGACTGGATGGAACTGATCAGGTTGACTATGATATGTCCAGGGCCAAATGCCAAGGTCAAGAACACCTAGGGTGGATCTGATTGGCACAAGGCAAACAGATCAAGTACAAGGCATAAGTGAGTGAGGGCTGGTTAGGAACATCATTCCCCATAGGCCTGCAGGTCCTGACTCCTCTGCATGAGATTATCCACAGCACACTGAATTCACTCGACGCATGGTCAAAGTCCCTAAAGTAGTTTATGATTACATATTGGCTTGCCACTCTTGGAAAAACCTGTGGCTCAGAATTCTCCACAACTCCCTTTGTGTCGTTAGCCAGAGATATGGTTTGTATGGAATGGGCTGAAGCATATTTTCTGAACCCAGATAAACGTCAGGCAGTCTCAGAAGACGCATAGCTTATTGCAGGAACGTAGGGAAGCACTGACTTGCCCACAAACGCATTCTCTTCATCAGTAGACTTGGCTCAAGTGTGGCTCGGAGAAGCTATGTCTTGACTCAAGCTAATACTTAGTAATAAAGCTTCCTGGGAAAGGAAGACTGCCAAAGTTTAAGTGGTGGGTTTTTATGACCAGGATTATGGTCCATTAAGGGACGAGGATGAAAACACCAGCTTGTTTCATTTTGATCTCTTCTCTAGGCCGAACCACCATCCTATTTCCAATTAAAGTCCCACAAGAAAAATGCTGACGTTTCTCCTCCAGAAACAATCCTCCTGGCTCTTTCCCAAAAAACCCACCATCATCTGAAGCCACATCCTCACAGCATCAAGATTCTGCAGTTTTGTTTTCTCCAAGAGAATAAATGGCCTATAAATAAAATGAGCATTCATTGATATTTTTTTTAATGAGAAAAGAGAGCACATGAAATCTGTTCAATCTGAATGGGATGTGGAAACAGTGTTCCCTTCACTGATGGAGAATGAGAGTCCTTCCCATTGATGATCTTGGCTTCGTGCTGAGAAGGGGTACATCAGCACCTAACTATTACAGTGAAACCACATGACCATGAAACATTATTCAGCTTCCACATTAACCTTGCCCTGTGGCTCAGGGAATGAGAGTGAACAACCTTATTCCTTCAGTAGTTAGTTCCAACAATGACTGCCATGCATGGCAAAGAAAGGCTCCTTCACTTCCAGATGTGGTCTGGTCATTTTTGAGACCAAGATGTCATAAGGGCACTCTAGGCAAATCCTACTGGGTAAGAATACTGGGGTAGAGAAATTAAACAACTATTCAACTATTTAGGAAGGCTTGGATCTGTCCCACATTTCAAAGGATGTCAATGTGATAAACTATTCTTTGGACTTTTCCAATAATAAGTTTTTAAAAATAGCTTTGCATCATGTATTGAAATAAATTTCAGTCTAACCAAAGAGATCTCATATGTATATAAGGAATCTCTCAAAAGCTATTCAAAAGGAGGTAAAAATGAATAATAATAAACTATTTTTATAAGAAATATTGAAGAACCCTATCAAGAAAAATATCTAATAGGTTGTAAAATAAAGTCATCTTTAGGTTAATACAAGAAAGCCCCAAGAAAGATAAGTGAATTTCTCTTTAAGAATATTTTCATCAAGCCAAGAGATTTCAAATAAATCCAAACTGAAAACAAAACTAAATGGAAGTTCTAACATTACTTGGCTTATGTGTGTCCTGTCAACACTTATTACATAACACATTCACCTATTTCTGAACACACAAAAGGAAAATATCCTTCATGGACAGCCAGACCAAATGTTTGTTAATGGAAAATTAAGGACAAATGCGAATTTTTGCAACAACTATAATTTGGCTCAAATTGTTTTTCTGTCTCTCCTCTCCTTCCTATGGCCCACCCCAGGATACATTTATCCCAAATGATTGTTTGGTTTATCTTCACATACCAAGGCATGTGAGGCATGATATGTCCAATGGGAAGATTTTCCTTTTTCTTTACCCATGCTTTAAGATTTTCTAGGGCCTGGGGGGAAGGAAGATGTCTGTGGGCTGTGGGCTGTGGGCTGAGGTTATCCCCTGGCTGGGAATTGGATGAAGAATTCCTCTTTAGTAGGAACGCCTTCTTCCAGAGGGTGTTCAGAGGGGACAGAGGTGACATACACTGAACCTAGAGGCTTGATGCAATCGAAATTTAAACTTGAAATCTGCTTTTATGTAATTACAGATAACAGATAAGCTGCAAATGGCCACTAAAAACATCTCTTTCAAGTTACCATATCCTAAAGATGACTAAATGAACTTCTGGAATTTTCAGGGAGAATTAATATTTAATGGGAGGTATCTTAGTCTGCTCAGGCTGCCATAACCAAGTACCACGGACTTGGGGGCTTGAACAATAGAAATTCATTTTTCCACTGTTCTGAAGGCTGGGAAGTCCAAGATCAAGATGCCAGCAGAGTTGGTGTCTGATAAGAACTCTCTTCTTGGGTTGCAGATGGCCAATTTCTCACTGTTTCTTCACATGGTGAAGAGAGAGAGCAAGAGGAAAAAAGGAGAGAATGACTGCTCTGATGTCTCTACTAATAAGGACACTAATTCTATCCATCAGAGCCCCACCCGCATGACCTCATCTAGCCTGAATTACTTCTGTAATGGCCTTGTCACCAAATACAGTCACATACTTAGTGGTTGGAGCTTCAACCTATTAATTTGGTGGGAAGAACAAAGTTCAGTCCATGGTAGAGGGGTAATATTCAAAATATTTAACCACTGGATACAGGCCCCAACCAATCAGAAGAGATGCTTACCACATCTGCCAGCTGGACTGGTTCATGCAAGCTGAGTATTAGCTCTGCCCTATGAACCTGGAAAACAAAAAAAAAGCAGTTTTCCTCTTGACCTCCTCCTGGAAAAGTCTCCACTGTGTATTTAAAAGATAGCTCTGGCCAGGTGTAGTGGCTCACACCTGTAATCCCAGCACTTTGGGAGGCTGAGGAGGGCGAATCACTTGAGATTGGGAGTTTGGGACCAGCCTGGCCAACATGGTGAAACCCTGTTTCTACTAAAAACATAAAAAAATTAGCTGGGTGTGGTGGCAGACACCTGTAAGTCCAGCTATTTGTGGGGGCTGAGGCAGGAGACTCACTTGAACCCAGGAGGCTTAGGTTGCAGTGAGCTGAGATGGCCCCACTACACTCCAGCCTGGGCGACAAAGTGAGATTCTGTCTCAAAAAAAAAAAAAATTAATAATTAAAAAAATAAATAAAAGATAGCTCCTACATGGTGCCTTGCCCAAAATAATGTAAAAATAGGTCTTATCCATTCCTGCATGGAAGTAACATGTTGCTTTATCAATATAAATATATTTTAATTTATCAATCTATTAATAGTGTTTATCTGGGGAGAAGAAAATTGTAGGAAGCATTCATTGTATAGATTGTATAGTTTTATCATGTGCATGTATTATTTTGTAATCAAAAAGCAAGCTTTCAACCTCTTTTAATTTGTAAATATGCCCTCTTTAGTCCTTAAAATCCTAAAAAAAAAAAAAAAAAAAAAAAACAACTACACTAGTTTTGCCTGTGGTTTTTCCTGTTGGAATTAAACTACTGCATGAAGAGTTGTATCTGTACTAAACATAAAAACAACTTTTTTCATTCATGTGGATAGTTTATTTCTTGTTCCAGAGTTCACTTTTTAAAAAAATGTCAAAAATGACAAATTTCTAAATGAGAAATTGAAAATGTTTACAAAGACCATTCTAATGGCATTCAAAGGAGTGGCTGTCAGGAGGAACCCAGCCACTCTTTAAGCATGGTTACAGTCTCTCTCCCCTAAATAATGAACTCACCCCTTTTCTTCCTCAGCATTTGAAGAATGAAGTCTTATTTCCCCAAAAGGTGATGTTATGTCCACAAGGAAGACAGCCCAGATCATGTTTCCACATGGGTTTCCTGCATGATATCTGTGTTAGTTTCACAAGCTACACTGCAAGATACTTAGTATGCCTCCCAGTAAACACTAGAATCACTGTGTGGGCATTATGACATTTACTAATTATCCTTGGGGTGTAGTCCTCCTGAGGACGACTGCATCTAACCAAGCTAGACCACTTATAGTATCCAAAACATTCCATGCAATGCTGTGCCTCTGGACTCATTACATATTCTGTTTCTTGTAATTGAAATGTTCATCTGACCTTTCTTCTTTGTCTATTGAATTATTATTCACCCTTTCTAACTTCGTAAAGGCTTTCCCCATTCTCCTCATGCCACATCTCCCATGCCCAGCTTTGAATATTGCATTTCATTAGCCAATGAGTTTATATACAAATAACTCAAAACCTGAATAACAGTGGCTTTCAACCAAAAGACAAATAAGTCTGAAAGGGAATCAATTCAATACTGTTTCAGTAGCTCAATTTTATTATTCAAAACTCATGCCTTTTCCTTCCTTCAATCAACCATCATCAGTATATTGGCTTTTCATCCTCTCACTAATTGACTCATGGTTGCAAGGTGGCTGCCAGAACTCTAACATCATGCCCTCACACCACTGTTCCAGTTAAGCAGGAAGAAGATTATCAGAAGAAACATGTTTTTTTCATCTGGGAAGTAAATCTGCACTCACAGACATCTCCCTGTGTCTCATTAGCCACAACTGTTCCACAAGAACATGCCCCAAAGAGGCTGAGTGAGAAAGTGAGACTGCATTAAGGGATAGTATGATACTATGATTGGCTTAGCCACAAAGTATTTTATACTTTATGGCTGGCCATATTCACACACACACACACACACACACACACACACACACACACACACACATGCCAATCAAGGTGCTGAAGGTAAGGTAAGGAGAAAGGGAAGAATGGCAGTTCAGCAGGCATCTCACAGTGCCTGCAAACTTGTGAATCTCTCTCTGTAGGGCATCTGCAAACCAAGAAATAAGGGATTGGGTCTTATTCGCTTTGGATTCCTCAGACTCCAGCAGAACAATAAAACAAAGTTTTCCTCTGGGAACAGAGTTTGGATTCAGCTGCCACACCCAACAAAAGGCAACAGGTATACCTGGGATCAAGACCAGGTCCCAACCATCTCTCTGTAATTCCAGTCCTTTCTTTCTCTCTCAAGTAAGTCTGCAGCTCAGTATCCCTCAGGGATACCGGCCCACTCTATATATAACTAGAAGATGATAGTAAAATAACTGTTTATATTTTACATAGCACTTTGGAAGGCCTTTTGTTTAACCCTAACGTCTACCCTGAAGGTAAATAGTATGATCCCTATTTTACAGAGAGGAACACAGGCTCAAGGAGGGTAAGGGTAGTTGCCCGAGTCCACGAAGCTTAAGGCAGCAGGTATAAGGCTGCATCACAGGCCACCTGACTGTATGTCTGCTTCAGTCACTCTCTGCTCCTCACACACCCTGGGGCTGCTCTGAGCTAGAAGTAAGCGAAATCTTGGGCAAGACTCCATGAAATTCCAGACCCTCACCATCCCAAAAGGAATAAGCTCCCTATCGCCATCCAAGCTCTTACAGAATGAGCCCAGTGTCTACACTACAGGAAAGAGACAAGAAATAGTCTTTCTGTCTCCACTTGGGAATGACTGACACATTGCAAGAGACGATTTCAGGGTTTCATATGGACCCAATATAAAGGATCCAACCTCTTCTGAAAGTAGAGAAGCAAGTGTAAGTGTTTGGTTAGGATAATAAAATCCAATGAATAGTAAATAAACATGCTTATTGGCAGCCCAAAATGGGTTGACTCCCAAACAAAATGCAAAATCAGACCTTGCTGTCTAACAGAAAACTAAGCCATGTCAGCAGCTACTTTATGAAATAAATATAAAAACAGACTCACACATTATTCTGAGATAACAGACACAGGTTCTTTTTATATTTAAATCATGTGCCCTATTATTAAAAGCATTAATAGAAATGTTCCCTGAATGTTTACAAGGTGTTTACTCAGTTTCTATACTGAAAGTCAGGATATCTTGGTACTGAAAATATTTCATGCCCAACAGTTACACAAAACCACTATTTCTTCGGTTTATAGCCCCGCTTAATCTCTTTGTGGAAATCTCCAGACCTCAACTACATTCCTTGAAATTTTACAGGGCACAAGAGGAACAGAAATCAGCTCAAAATGAATATGTGTATTCAGAAATGCATTGAGATTTTTCCAACTTTTCAGGTACCTCATACAAATTAATCTTCTTAAGGGCCCTGGTGGTCTCTGAATCACTGCTTCACTTCCCCACTTCTCAGCACCCCCATTGTATTCTCTTGATAGGAATAACTGCCAGATCATTAGGGAAGAAAAAGTTTATTGAGTCAAGATCTGGGAGGGCCCCCACAAGGTCAGGAGCAGGTACCACCAGTTTTACATAATTTTTGCATCTGCACCAATTTGATTTAAGGTTATAAGTGGAATTTATTGGTGAGTATTGTATTATAAAAAAGTAGTTTATACCATATTGTCTCATATTTATTATGATTCAGTCAAAAGTGAATTGTACACATGCTGTCTGCAATGAGCTGATACAATGGGAAAAAAAAATCCTGGCTTTCAAAAAACACATTTGTTCTCCTTTCCATTGTCTTTAATGGTTTACTTAGGTGAAAGAAAAATTGTTTGAATGTTAAAACTGTATCTTTTCCTGTGGCACTAATCACCAAATTGAAATTATTAGAATTTTTAAAAAGCAGAAGGAAGTTGAACATGATGTGTTAGGATAATGGCAATAGAGAAAAATAGAATTGTTTGAGTGAAAGGTGTAAAATAAAGAAATTATTTAGGATCTGCAAGAAGAAAACAAATGTGTAGAAGCGCAGGATAAACCATTCTGTAATTTCAGGCTTCTAACAAAAACAAAAACAAAGTCACTCACTTACCATTTCTTGTTTAGGCTGTATCTCTAGGAAGAAAAGGGAATTGATGTCTACTCTCTCAAGCAGGGTGACAATTGAGAGTAACTTAACGGCCACTGGAAACTTCCCCAGGTTTGTTTGTTTGTTTATTTATTTATTTATTTTAGGGATAGATTCTCACTCCGTCACCCAAGCTGGAGAGCAGTGGTGCGATCATAGCTCACTGCACCCTCAACCTCCCCAGCTCAAGTAATCCTCCCACCTAGCCTACCAGGTAGCTGGGACTACAGGCACGCACACCATGCCTGGCTAATTTTGTGTATTTTCTGTAGAGAAAATACACCATGTTGGCCAGGCTTTTCTCGAACTCATGGGCTCAAGAGATTCTTCCGCCTTGGCCTCCCAAAGTGCTAGGATTACAGGTTTGAGCCACCGCGCCTGGCTGCAGATTCCTTTTTAGAAGGCAAACTGGCCATTATTATTTTTTTCTATACCAACCCTGCTACTATTTCCCAGAAATTTCAAAATTTCTGGTTGATGTATCTAAATTAGTAATTCCATCATTCCAAGAGTGAATTACACACTTTAAGCTCATGGGAACATCAGAATCCCCTCTGAGACTACAACCAGATTCCAGGATCTAGCTTACTCCTCCTTTAATGTGTCCTTAGTCATGGTTGTAATATTACTGGAGTGCAAAAGAGCACTAAAAAAATTTTTTTTAAAAGTTTACTTCTTGGTCGATTGCTGAGACTCATGATCAGAGGCGCCCCTCGTGGCTGCCTCAGGATAGGGAGACTGATTACCGTTTGGCCACTTTTTTTACCCAATTCTTTTATAAAGGTCTCACATAATCTCACAGGTGCACTTAATGTTTTTCGTTCGGCTTAGTTTGATTTCCTCTGCCTCTTACCATTCACCATGTGCTTCAATATCCTAAATGGCCGTTTTAAATATGTATAAATAAAATAATACCATGTCTGGGACTTGCCTTAAAATATGCCACAGGGACCTGTAATTGAAACAAGGTTGGCCATGACTGGTCATCTTAGAACCTGGGTGATGAGTACAAAAAGGGTTCATTATGCCTCTCTCTCTACTTCTGTACATGTTTAAATCTATTTTCCAATACAATTTATGTAAATATTGTTGTTAAGAAGTGTTATCATTCTGGTTTGGGGGGTTTGGGTTTTTTTCTCTTTTGTTCTGGAGAATTTACATGTAGCTTTCTCCTGGACAGCCAGGCTAATTAATGATCTGGGTGGCTGTAGGATGGTGGCCGTTTGCTAAGAGTCGGGATACAGACACTTCATTTTATTCTACACAGAGACTGCTACTGATCCATGAGCCAGAGCCAATGCTGAGTTTTATAAAACCCACACGTGGAATTCCCTTATAGGTAGAATTCCATCTGCTGTTCATGAAAGGCTGGTTGGAAAGAAGATGGGCCACCCTTGGCTCTCCCTACCCCAAACCTGCTCGTCACTTAGGCAGAGAAGAAGAGGCACTTCAAGTCCATGGGGAGAAGGGGGATGAAAGGGAAGTGGCACAAGAGACACCTGGTTCCCAAGGAAACTTAACTCAAAAGTGGAAGGCTGAGACCACACTGGGTGTCAGTCATCAGCATGACAAACAGTGGGTTAACTGAGACTGTTCTAATTTGAAACACTGAGAATTGGAGGCCCAAGAGAATGATAGTATCTGGCAAATATATCCTGAATTAAAATGAATCTCACTTTATTCCTTCCCTTTTTTTCCCTGGAAAAAAAACTCTTTAGTTGAAGGATCTCCAAGGTTTTCTTGATTTTCAAAATTAATCTCTCTCTGGATCCGTTACTAGAATGCAGAGAGTGCAATTATTCCAGAATCATTTGCTTTTTCAGGGCTCTGAAGACTGGAAAGTCTCTGTGTTCTCATTGCAGCTCAGCTCTCCATTAGACCAGCCTCAGAAAATGTTAATAATTAGAAAGGAGCTGGGTGCCTGTCTGAGGCTTTGTTTCTTTGTATCCTGAATGTTTTCTCTGTAGTGTTGATACTAAAACCTGCTCCATTTTTATAAAATCAGAGCCATCAA